TAAATTTTGGAAAAAGTACCCTATCATTGAAAATCGGAATCTCCGGTTGTAGTAATCCGATTGACTTCGTGTCTTTTGCATTAATTACTCTTCAAGCTCTTCTTAAAAAAAAAATTTTTTTTTTAAATAATTTTTAATTTCCTTAAAATAAAAACAAATTAAGATTAAGATAAAAAAATTTATTTTTTAATTGAACATATGCGCTATATCGTTAGTTTCAATCGGTTTTTGTCATAAAGGTGGAACCATGTATAGTTTTTAAAATATCGAATTTGTTTTAACAAAGCCTCGGCTTTTTTCTATGAAAAAAAGTCGTAGCATGTAGGTCTACTCTCTCACTCTTGTCGGATCCTTATGGAATTCATATTTTCTCGTCGTTTACTAGGCCTTTAACAATTTTTAATGATTAAAAGTTAACTTTTAAGTGTTTTGACAATTTCTCAATAGTTTTTGTAATTTCTTTACAGTTTTAGAGTAGTGCCCAGAAACTAATACTTTTGATTTAGAATTGCATCCATTAGGTGTTTTATCCTACTTTAATCATAACAAACTTATGTACATGCTAATTTATCGATGTGTGTGTGTGTCATTGCGTTTCTCACATGCAAATGTGACGAAACCAATCAAAATATTTTTTAAAATCAAAACAAAATATCCTTGTACATTAAATGGGTTGGCTGCACACTTTGACTTAGAATTACATCCATTAGATAATCCGATAATGGTATCCAAATAGTACAATTTTGATCAGGTACCAAACCAGAAAAAAACATTGGCCGCCTCTCTTTCTCTTCAAATGACTCTCTCTCTCTGCTGACTACTTTCTCGCTCTGCTTCTGTTGACGTTCGTGAGTGCTGCGAACTGCCGAAGCATACAAAAAAAACAAAAACAACGTGCTGCCAAAAAGACCCCCCGCAACCCACGCAATCTTACAAAAAGATTCATATAAAATCAACTGTGGGTCCAAAAAACAAAAAAAATACCTCACTTATTGTATGGCATAGCTCCATACTTTAAACCATAACCGGATCCGATCGCAAAATCGGTGCGGAAAAATTAATTAACCGAAAGTAGGTTGGGGCTCAACTTCTGGGCTTTTAAAGATTTGGTTGGGGCTCAACTTCTGGGCTTTTAAAGATTTGCTCAAATAAAGCTTAAAATAAAAATATCAACTTGTTTGCTTGAAAACTGTGGGAATGGTTGATGTTTTAAACAACCAATTTTGCATTTTTCGAGAGTCCTGGGAGTCCTTGGGAGCCGAATTTTAAAAAATATTTTCTTAGTGCACACCTGTATAATAATAATAATTATTTCTAAAAAAGTACTGTCTGGGGAAATTTCGCCACCCTATGCTTAGGGTAAACTCGCACCTATTTTAAATACATATTTTTTTATTTGACGAGCTGGCTAACGAACAGACTACCGGCAGCAGCAACAAATATAGGAAGTCAACAAAAATGGTACGCTTGATCAGTGTAGCATACTTACAGGCGTAAAGTGACCTACATTTTTCAGGTGACGAAATTGCCCCAGGGGTGTGGCGATTTTACCCCCCTATGTGGCGAGATTGCCCCAGTATATTGGTTTTACTTTTTAATTTTTTATAAATTACCGAGGTAATTAAAAAAATAGGGGAATGTCACATTTTAAAGCTTGGTGCTAACCGCATTCAACAATAAAAATATAAATATGATAACGTGTCTCAAGATGGACAAAAAATAGCTTTGAAAAAATGCTGACGAAATTACCCGACTCTCCCCTACTCTTTTATAATAATACTCGATTCTGAATAAGAATAGAAGCCTATGAATTACACAGGCCGACAAAATGTGACATGGGTCGGTGTCCAGGCCTGACACCATTTTATTTCGATAAATGAGGCTTTTCTAAGCATAAGTTGCCACTACGCCTATAGTCCATCAGCTCTGGTATTTGCGGTATCTTTAATTTAAGAAAATCACAAATTTTCTTCGTCTTTTGGGATATATCTTCAAGAGTGGTCAACCAATTTTGGTAATCTTTTCGGAATTAAATAGTTACATGTCTCTTTTATACGGTCGTTTTGGAAAATTTAATCTAACTGAACCACAAGAGAAGGTGGGCGCATTTAAAATTTTAAAGTCACAGCAAAGTTTAAAAATCTTCATTTGTGAACAGCGTTTAAAAATTAAATAAAAATATTTTCTTCTACAATGCATTTTTGATCCAAAGACACCTTGTGTCCCTAATTTTTAGGACACTCATGAGGTTTTTGTGTATTGTTTTGGAATTTTTAAAATTGTTTTTCTTACTTACTTACTTACTTACCCAGTTATGGTTTTCCTCCACTTGCAATATCTGCTTTTCTACACCCTCCCAGTTTTGGTTTTTCCAGACCCTCGCAGTTTTGGTTTTGCACTGCTTTGCAGTATCTGATTTTCCACAATAAAAATCATGTTTTTTGTAATATTTGTTTGTGTATTTATTAATAATATTTACAATCGAAGCATTGGACTACAAATTTTTAATGCCTGAAGCATTCCCGGGTTTTGCTTGACCGAATGCAGTTCTTAGATATCCATTTCTTGTCTGTCTTCTGAAAATATCAAAAATAATTAAGATATGAATGTAAGACCAGGAATAATAATAAGAGTAATTACCATTATTAGGTCTCCGCACAAAATTAAAGGATCTCTCCAGAAATTATGCCTGGTTTGCCATGGCCGATCATTTACCCTCTGTTCAATTGTTTTATGTCGGGTATCTATATCAAAAACTATGAGAAGAAAAAACAAAATATGACAAACGCAGGCGCAACACTTCTGGTCCCAAGAAGTCTCAGTCGGCCTGGCTGAAATAAATGTAATATTTTGATTAAGTTAAATAACTAAGTTAGTACTAAAGTACTATTTATGCAACCATTTAATGAACACCTCACACCATTTACCACTGGTAAAGATTAAAAACATTTCAAGTGTCACTGAAATGCAGAATTTGTGTTGAAGATAGCATCCGGAGGCGTATATTTATTAATGGCGAAAATATCTGTGATACTAACCTTTGTAACGCTGAAATAAAGATTATAAAAAGACAAAATTTATTTTATCACTCACCATTTTATTGTTTTTTAGATTAAAATTAACTATTTTCACTTTTTTTTCTCTTTTTCCAACTAATTTAAAAATGATGTGACCCTGCATTATATTCTTGATAATACCATACAAAATGCAGATAAGTTTGGTGTAAATTTCGTTGTAAAGTTGGGTCACACTTTGGCGCCGAATAAACATTTCGTTTAAACAATATTTTTCAGGGACCGTAATCATTAAATGTTACGTATATTATAGGTATATTAGGCATTTTTCGTGTTATCAATACCACCAACACGAATTTTTATATTTTAACAACACTTAAAAATGGATTAGGCCACGATCTGACGATCAAATTATTTTATTTCACAGAAAATGTTTAAAAATGTAAAAAACAACAATAGTTTTCTTTGTAATTTAATGTAATTCCTTGATAAATGTGATCAAATATTTTAATCGTCTTACCGTGGCTTTTCTCTATAATTTGGTTGAATCCCACATTCATTCTTATTATTATTTGTAAAAATTTTTAGTAAAATAAATCAATATTATTATTATAGACATTATGATAATAGTTATATAGTTTAATGTTTTTGATTAACAATTATTAATATTTTTTCTACGAATTTTAAAATTACTAAAAATTAAAACTAAATGTGAGAACAAGTCTTTTGGTTTTGGTGTAAATCATAGGATTTTTGAATATTATAAGTTGGTGATTTTTTTGTTAAAAAATATTATAATCGTAGTGCCACAGAAATCACACAGCGCATAAGTGGCCTGATATTGATGCTACTCAGAAACCCACCCTCAATTAACGCTCAGAAATTATCTATCCCTACACCGCCGCCTGCAAAAAGGAACAGGATTTCAAGAACACAAAAACCAACTTCTCACATTCCCGCTGGGATGTCACATTTTGTCGGCCTGTGTTATGTATGTTCTGGTTGGATAGAGTACGATAGAATAATATAAGTTTTTTTCCACCAAAAAACAAAAATATGAAACATGAAACATACACTTACTATTTTAAACTTTAAAAAAAAAAGAAAAAAAAAGTTATTGGTCCAAAAGAATGTTTTTGTTTTTGAAAGTGGATTAAAAATGGTCACTGATCACGCGATGCAATTTGTTGGGTCACTTTATTAATAGAATACTGTATAATCCTAATGTCTACACATGTACAGCTGTAAGCCCTCTAATAACTCTCCGCTCTGATCGGCTTAACGAGTGTTCAGTAATAAAGGCAGTAGCATATCATCCTTGAAAGAGAACAGTCGTTTTGGTCTTGAGTTTTCGGTTGTTCGATCAGTTCATACTTAAAATTTCCTGCACCCCCATACTCTGATTTAAATGAGTTATAATTATAGAAAACGCTCTATAATTCACCGTTCATTTTGGCGCCCAACGTGGGGCAGTGTTTGCAAATTTAAAAGTTATAAACAATTGAACAATTCCTAATTTATCGTCGAGAAAATTCATGACCGGTGTAGACGCTTATTTTTTCTTTTTTTTTTTCATGGCGCGACTGTAAGTTCAGCCAGCTGGCCATTCTGCGCTACTGAATTACAGTTAGCCCATTCCTTTGCTGCTCGCCTTTCGTAGCCGCTGTTGCCAATCTTCAGCTCGCTCTCGCTTTCGTTGCCGGCAAAAACTTCCAGTTTTGCTGCTCGCCTTTCGTCGCCGCTGTTGCCAGACTTCAGCTCGCTCCCGCTATCATTGCTGCCGAAACTTCAGTTTTGCTGTTCGCCTTTCGTCGCCGCTATTGCCAGACTTCAGCTCGCTCTCGCTCTCGTTGCTGCTGAAACTTCAGTCGGCTTCTACATTGATCGCATTCGCACACATTTTCGCACTCATTTCGCACCAGGATCGCTGCTCACCGCACTTCGCAAATTAATCGCCGTTTAGCATTGCTTTACATAATCTCTACGATGTCAACTATTGAGCAATGCAAACGTCAACGGACCAACATTAAAAGGAATATAACTCGCATTAAAACCCTCGTAACAACAAGCGCTGGCGAAGACACCGGACTTTCCAGCGCCGAACTGCGATGCCGGCTGGGAATTCTGGAGTCTTACTTCACGCAAGCAATGGCAGTCCAATCTGAGATTGAGACGTTGGATCCCAGCGACAGCGGTCGCGGAGAATTGGAGGACAGTTATGTCGAGACCAAAGTCGCCATCAAAGATCAGCTAGGTGAGGAACTCAACAGCACTCGACCACCACATTCACCGTTTTCGCTGGCCCAATCCAGTTCGATTGCTCTGTCGTCGTCGAAGTTGCCCCGTCTTACCTTGCCAACGTTCGACGGAAAATTTGCAGAATACAAAAATTTCATCAACTCGTTTACACAAATTATCGCTCGTGAGGCAACCATGTCTAATCTAGAAAAGTTCAACCATTTGCTGCACAGCTTAAAGGGACCAGCCTTAGACGCAATCAAGGCGTTTCCTATTACCGATGAAAACTATCCCAAGGCTTTGCAGCGGCTTAATGAAAGATTTGATAATTCAACACTTATCTTTCTAGAAACCATAGATGCGCTATTCAAACTCCAGCCAGTCGAAAAATCAAACGCAATACAGCTACAAGGCTTGGTGGACAAGGCGTCGGCCATGTATGGAGCACTGGAATCCCTTGGTACTGGCTCAAATATTGCCCAGGCCATGTTGATCTACATTGTGATTGACAAATGCGATCAGCACACCCGCAATAAATGGAACGAGTCGTTGGATTTCAAAAATCTGCCAAATTGGAAGCAGTGTTCGAAGCTGCTGGAACGCCATTGTCAATACCTTCAATCAAGCAACCCCACATCACAAGGTCCAGTCCATCCAAGCAAGTCATCTCGAAATATGTCGTATGGACATAAATCATCGTTCGCAATCACTCAATCTGCATGTGCGCTATGTTCGTCAGGTGGCCACAAATTGTTTGGATGCCCAACATTTAAATCGATGACAACACCTGATCGGTTTGAAACAGTTAAAAAACTTAACTTATGCCTCAATTGTCTCGGCAGTGGTCATCGAATCGCTCAATGCTCATCAAGAAGTCGTTGCCGCAGCTGCAATCAAGCTCATCACACAATGTTGCATCATGACAAGGACATTCCGGCCATAGAAGCGCGTCCTGACAGCCGCGCAAATTATTCAGTACAGCCAAGTGATCCGATAACGTTCTCTCATCTGCACACTCGACCAGGACAAGTTATCCTAGCCACGGCTGTGGTTCTGGTCAAAGACGCATCAGGAACATACAGGCCTGGCAGAGCATTGCTTGATGCATGTTCTCAGGTGAATCTCATCAACGAGGAGTTCGCCCAAAAACTTCGTCTTCGGCATGAAAAATTCAACATGGGAATCCGCAGCGTTGGAGACTCGTTAACGCATATAAAGCACTTGGCCACAACAACCATCCAATCGCGTATCACAGACTGTCACTTCTCACTTGAGTTCTGTGTCATCAGCCACATCTCGTATCAGCCAGACTCTGAGATTGACATCTCTTCTTGGAAGTTGCCCACCAACACACCTTTGGCAGATGATAGATTCCATGAATCTCGGCGCATCGATCTTTTACTTGGCGCTGAAGTCTTCTTCCATTCGCTGGCCGTTGGGCAAATAAAGCTCGCACCTCACTTGCCAATACTCCAAAAAACATTGTTCGGCTGGGTCATCGCCGGTCGATGTCAACAACAGCAGAAGCAAGTTTCGGACTGTTTTATGTCAAGCACAGTCTCCATTGAAAACCACTTGCAGAAGCTTTGGGAGTTAGAATCCGTCGCTGCCTCACCTGAGAGTCTACATCCACATCACCAAATCTGTGAGGCGCTCTATACAAGCACTACAGTTCAGGACTCCCACGGTCGCATTGTAGTCAACCTTCCCTTTAAGGATGATCCCTCTCGTCTTGGAAATTCCGCTGAAGTGGCTCGTCGACGATTTTACGCAATGGAACGCCGCATGCTGAAATTCCCTGAGTTGAGATCCCAATATGTCTCATTCATGCAGGAATATCAGGCGCTAGGTCACATGTCATTGGTGACCAGTCCAGCCCTTCATGAGTCGCATTACTATATACCCCACCACTGCGTTTTGAAGCCATCGAGCACATCTACAAAATTGCGAGTGGTTTTCGACGCCTCGTGCACAACAACGTCGCAACTGTCTCTTAATGACCTACTGTTTGTGGGTCCCACTGTGCAAACGGATCTTTATCTGCAGCTTCTCAAATTCAGACTGTTTCAATATGCCTTGACAGCTGACGTGACAAAAATGTACAGGCAAGTCCTCGTCGATCAAAGCTTTCGAAAATATCAATATATATTTTGGCGAGACTCCCCAGATGCACAACTGCAGACGTTCCAGCTGAATACCGTCACTTACGGAACCGGCGCTGCACCGTACCTAGCAGTGCGCAGTTTACACTATTTGGCTGACAAGTACAAGGAGGAATTCCCGACCGGCGCATCGGTTATCAAATCATCGTTATACGTCGACGATCTGCTTTGCGAAGCAGACGACATAGACACCTTGCGACTCATCAAACAAGAAGTCATCGAAGTTCTTCAAAGGGGGAACTTTCCGTTGACCAAGTGGCACTCAAACCACCCTGAGTTCACTGATTACCAGCCCACGAAGAGACTCCACATCTGTGAGGACAACGTCACAAGCGCACTCGGTGTCATCTGGAATCAATTGGATGATGCGTTTCTCTTCACCTTTGCTTCAAAACAACCAACCTTGCCAGCTACAAAGAGATCTATCTTATCCATCGCATCATCACTCTTTGACCCCCTTGGTCTTTTGTCACCGATAATTATCGTGGCGAAAATGATTCTTCAGGAACTGTTGGATGCTCAATCTTAATTGGGACGAATCGGTTCCTCAATCCCTACACGATGCATGGACCGACTACTTGGAATCCTTGAACATGTTGCCAACTCTTCAAGTACCTCGGTATTGCCTGCAAAATGCCAATAGCAACATTCAACTGCATGGATTTTGCGATGCGTCCATCAGGGCGTACGGATGTTGTGTGTACGTGCGAACTGAGGGACCAAGTAACATCACCGTTCGGTTGTGGACATCAAAGTCTAGAGTAGCCCCTGTCAAGAAACAATCGCTTCCGAAACTGGAACTGTGTGCCGCACACTTACTCGCTAAACTATTCAACAAAGTCAAAGGATTGTTCGGAGAAAGACTCATACCGTCCTACCTCTGGTCAGACTCACAAATACTCCAAAATACTCCATTGGCTCCAACAGCACTCCGTTACGCTCTCAAGCTTCGTTGGAAATCGCGTGTCTGAAATTCAGACACCCAAATTCAATTCACCCAAAGCAACCCAGCCAATATTGTCTCGCGCGGTTGCACTGTCACCGAACTGGACGCATCAATATGGTTAAACGGTCCTCCGTTTGAAGACATTTCAAAGTGGCCTGTGGCAAAAAATGCCGCCATCGATTTGGACATCGTTAACGGCGAGAAACGGAAACACATGTTTTCAACCACAACTACAACTAACTATCTGCTGGCGTCACTCGAAAGGCACAGCTCATACACTGTTTGTCTACGCATTGTCGCATGGATGTTTCGATTCATACACATCGTTCGGAAATCATCGAAGTTCAAAGGTGCAACCCTCAGGAAGATCGACTCGACTATTCCGATCTTCCTGAGAGTGAGAAGCACCCACTACTACTTCCCAGTAAATCATCAATGGTAATCAAATATGTCCGCCACCTTCACACTCGAAACTTCCATGTTGGACCAAAGGCGCTGATGGCGCTTTTTCGTCTGAAGTTCTGGATCATCAACGCAAGGAATTTAGCGCGCAGTATTGTTCGAGCCTGTACCCACTGCGTTCGATATCGGCCCGTACTACTGCAGCAAGTAATGGGTCAATTAGCTAAAGCAAGATTGGCAATCAGTAAGCCCTTCAGAAAATGCGGTGTCGATTTCTGCGGACCTATACACACTTATCTTCGAATACGCGGAAGGCCTCCATCAAAGTAGCAATTAAAGCAGACCTTTTGGCGTCGCTGGTCTGCAGACTATTTCAAGTCACTTCGATCAAGAACCAAATGGACTTCCCCATCGCCAAACGTGTCTGACGGTACCATGGTGCTTATTCACGAAGATAATGTACCCCCTCAGAATTGGAGAATGGGAAGGATCGAATCCTAAGTATATGGGCGCGACAACAGAGTCCGTGTCGTTCAGCTGCGCACCGCCAAGGGAACCTGTAGCCGCCCTGCTCACAAGCTCGCTGTACTTCCTGTATCTTAAAAGTGTATATTAGGAAAAGTAAAGGTGCTAGAAATTAATAAGTTACGTCAAATTAAAGCTTAATATGTGTACTAAATGCTAAAATTAAAATGACATTTTTACGAATTTTTTTAAGGCTTTTTTTTAAGCTCTGAAGTTGCGAAAAATATTTGTACGTATACTTTTTCTGGCAAGTGTATATGGGCACTTCCAAAATGTCGCTCGGGACATTTGCACACCTTTAAAGTTGAAAAAAAATTGTAAAACAATGGATTTTAATTTTAATTATGGGCTTTTCTTTTCACTCTTCCCAAGCTCTATTTTTTGTAAAAATCTTGATTTTGTACCACTTTTAGTTTTTAAGATATCGGTAAAAAACTGTCGTATTCGCTCGGGACAAAAATAGAAGTGGATTTCGGGGAAGTTCATACAACACCAGAAATTAGCAAATTCTGTTGGAATATTTGAATGCGATTTTTTTTAGAATGTTGTTCAAACATGTCGCTGTGAAATGCTTTTGGTTTTACTCAAACTGCGTTTTTTTTTATGCAGTTTCAACCACATTCGCTCGGGACATGTCGCTCGGGACATTTTTTCCGACTGTTTTGTAAAGCGGATTTCTTTACCTCTATCTCTCAATTGCTGGATGTTTTGCTTTTAACTTAATAGTTTGGCATGTGAATGAAGCATTCAGTACAGAAAAATGTCACATATTAGCATTCCTAAAGGATAAATTTACAACAGAAGACAGGTCCAAAAAATAACAAAAAAATAGCCAAAAACAGATTTTGGCGTATATTGGTGGGGTTTGTCATAAAAATAATCAAACTATACTCCAAATTTGTAGTTAAGCTCAGTATTCAACTAATTAGAAACTAATATCGGGGCCAAATCATGTGGAAATATGTTTTATTCAAGTTTCAAGGTTTTTGGCTTGGTGGACTTTTTTTTGGAAGTGCCCATATGTGTATTGTCACATATTGAAATATAATATTAAGCGGAATATCGCCGCCTTAAACTGAAGCCGGCCAGATAGACTTCTCTGCTTCTCTCTTCGTCCAGTACCATTCCCCTTTCGATACCGCCTGGTGACGGCAACACCGGCTTGCAGAACAATCCCTCGAATACGGCCGCGTCCCGTTCGGCATTTCCCTTTATCTGACGGTCCTGCTCCTGACGCTTCATTAAGATATATCTTCCTACTGACTCACTTGTCGCTCTACCTTTATCCGCCCATGACTTTGTGGATGGCCTTTTAGAATTATCGTTACAGCAAGTTAGCTTTATACGAAATTCATTACATAGACAACTAGATCTTGTGTTTTCTTCAGAGCTGTCTGAAGTCACGGTATCTAGAATTGACGCTCTTGTGGTACCAGAAGACCGATACCATCCAACTATGGAATTGACAATTAGCCTCCCCTACCTTGATACCCTCTCTCCTTTAGTCTCTCCAACTAAAATGAGAAGCTTTCTTAAATGTGACTTTAGTAAACTTAACTTAATGATTTCTCAATATAATTGGACAGAATTTTATAACTGTATGGACATCGAAAGTGCCACTGAACTGTTCTATAGCGTTCTAAAAACTTTTTTAATGAATGCGTTCCTGATAGGCTTCCTCCAAAGCCAAACAGGCCCCCTTGGTTTACAAATGCGCTTCAACGACTTAAAAATCTTAAATCAAACACTTATAAAAAGTATAAAAAATCGGGTAGGCCATCCGATTTTTCGAAATATGTGGTGGCTCGATCTGATTTTAACGTTCTTAACAGTCATTGCTATTCTATGTATTTAGATCGCTGTAAATTTGAATTTTCAAATGACCCGAAGCAGTTTTAAAACTTTGTCAACGCAAAGCGTAAGTCATCAGCTTTGCTTTCATCGCTTCGATTTAACTCAATAGAGGCATCGACTGACTCTGAAATTGCTGATTTATTCTCTGCCTTTTTTCAAACTACTTATAGCTCTTCTTCATGGTCAGAATCAAATTACCGTAATCCCTTAAATAGGGCAAATTGTATTTTTTCCCCTATAATTACCGAAAGTTCTCTCTTAAGAGATTTAAAATCAACAACGCCAACTTATTCTCCCGGTCCTGATGGACTTCCTGGGTGTGTGCTTAAGTTTTGTGCATCAACCATCTGCAAATCTATTCTTAAACTTTTTCAATTGTCTATTTCAGCATCAGTTTTTCCAACTATCTGGAAGGATTCTTTTATTATTCCACTTCACAAAAAGGGTGCGAAGGCGAATGCCCAGAATTATAGAGGTATTTCTAAATTGTCGGCAATTCCAAAAGCCTTTGAACGTATTATCACTTCTCATTTGCAACATTTATGTTCCTCGCTAATATCACCGTGTCAGCACGGTTTTGTATACAGATATACAGATTTCAGTAAAGCCTTTGACTCTGTTAACCACTCTCTTCTTTTATTCATGGGTTTCCATGTAATCTATTAACTTGGATTTCAAGCTATTTGAATGGCAGGACTCAGAGGGTTATATTTAAGAACGCTGTTTCAAAAACGATCCATGTGACATCTGGAGTACCTCAGGGTAGTCATTTGGGCCCTTTGCTGTTTACTTTGCTTATTAACGATCTTCCCTCTATTGTAACACATTCTCGTGTACTAATGTATGCTGATGATGTTAAGCTTTGTTTGACATATAATAATATAGAGTCTGGTTTTGGCTTACAATCAGACATTGATCATTTTCAAGTATGGTGTGAGTATAACCTCTAGGGTTACCCCTACCTTTATAAGTTATTCGCTTCAGAATTTGCCACTTGACCGTATATATTCAGTAAATGATTTAGGCGTTCTTCTGGACCCGAAGCTTAAATTTGACTGCCACATAATGTCGACAGTCAATAAAGCTATGAGTGTTCTTGGGTTTATAAAGCGTTGGTCAAAAGAATTTGATGACCCTTATATAACCAAATTATTATTTACCTCCCTTGTCCGTCCTATATTGGAATATTGTTCTTCGGTTTGGAGCCCACAATACCAAGTCCACATTGACCGTATAGAGTCGGTACAAAAAAAATTTCTCCTTTTTGCCCTTCGTAGTTTGAACTGGGATCAAAACGTAAGGCTACCTTCCTACGAGAGTAGATTATTATTGCTTAATTTACCGACACTGGCAAATCGTAGAAAAATGCTTGGTACCATTTTTATGCATAATCTTATAAGAGGTGATATTGATTCTGTAGAACTTGTTAGCCGCCTAACTTTTAATGTTCCCGTTAGACTAACACGTAATTATCATCCTCTTAATTTACCTCGATGTACATCAAATTTTGGTCTGCACGAGCCCTTTCGCGTTCTATGTAATAACTATAACGTTCTTTATCATTTAATTTATACATCAACTTCTATCCCGGTATTAAAAACTAACATTTTAGCTCATTTGCTTCACTCCTAACTGCATGTTTTTTTCATTATTTGTCCCGTCTTTATTGGTTTTATGTATTCTTCCTCGCGAACTCGCATTTTTGCCCAAATTTACAAAAGGGCCCAGCGCGTAACAAGCACGTGCTTGGTGTCGTTGGGCCACTTGTTTGTACTTCTCGTAGTACATCAACGTCCATCATA